AGCATGATGCTTGCTAGGTAAGGGTACTGTACATGTAGCTCAGCACCAGAGCAAAACCCCGTGCCTAAGAGTACACTAAACCCTAAAAATACACTCTCGAGTACCCGAGCTTGAGGAATGGAACAAGGCCGTCCCCACCTGTATCCGGGGAAGGAATGGAACAAAAACCCGTTCCTGAAACCTGGCCCGCCAGAGCTGCACTGTACCTGTAGCCGAGGAAGGGGATGACGAAGATGCGGCGGCGGCTGCCATACCATACGCAGCAAAGGCGCAACCCAGCCGCACGAGCACCAGCAGAGCAGACCCCCCAACACCATGATGCTGGAGTAGGGTACATACCTGTAGCCGAGGAAGGGGATGACAAAGATGCGGCGGCGGCTGCCGTAAGCAGCGAAGGCGCAGCCAAGGCGCACGAGCTCCAGCAGGTCGTCGTCTGTGTGTGTGGCCGCCACGAATATCACGTCCTGGCCTACTAACTGGTACTTCTCGTCCATCAGGACGCGCAGGTACTGAGGGTGAGGGCGAGGGAGAGGGGGAAGGGGGTGGATGCAGGGTTGGGAGGGAAACAACGTGCCCGAGCGGCAGGTCGTCGTCCGTCACGTGCGTCGCTGCCAGGTCGTCGTCCGTGTGCGTCGCTGTCAGGTCGTCGTCCGTGTGCGTCGCTGCCATAAGCAGCGAAGGCACAACCAAGCCGCACCAACTCCAGGAAATCGCCGTCCGTCACGTGCGTGGCCGTCACGAACGCGCGTCCATAAGCACGCGAAGGTACTGGTGATGGAGCGAAGGGTCGGGGGTGAGGGTGCGGATGTGAAACACGCCGGCGTCTCGAAAGCGTGAAACATGGACGTGAAATAAGTCGTATCTGCTTCGTTAGGCACCTGAGTAAGATTATCACCTTCTCCCCTCCTTTAAACTGCTTCCGGATGACCGTCCCGCGTTCCACGCTAAGCTGCTGCGCGATCAGATCCGCCAGATACGCGCTCGCCTCGCTCGAGTACACCACGTAGTTCGACGCGCACGTCGTTCCGTGGTTCATACTCGGGCACATCAGCGCCGTCGTGTTCCTCACGGCGTCGATCGCGGGAGACGCGCTGCCTGCTGCTGCTGCTGTTCCGTTGTTTGCTACCGCGCCGTCCATGCCGGTACTCATGGCTGTCGCTCGAAATCTGGTTGTTGAAATAGAGAGCAGAACGAGGAGGAGAAGCACGAAGTGAAAGGAAGACGATCGATGGGGAATGATTAGAGGATCCTTAAAACTGAACGTTAGCCCTTCAGATTTCTTTGTCGCGGAGGTGTAAAGAGCATCTAGGTTTGAAGGCGTGAGCATCTAAGGCAGTTCGATGGAGGTGGAGGACGCTAGGGCTGAAAAGACATGTGAAATGCAGATTCAAGGCGCAGCATCGGAAATATCACGAATCCTGCATGCACCACCAGAGAAACCTATCGGACCGAACCATACTCAAATTTGGACCAGATACTGTACCAGCAATGCAGAACTTTTGTTTTGCACCTTCGTGTATGTGATCTCAGCCGTCCATTGGTCCGTTGAAAGTGCGCGGATATGCGGGATGACTACAACTGTTGTTTACTGGTACGCGCTTCAGGACAGCTCAATAAGGAAATATCAAAACTGTACACCTCGCATTTACTGCAATGCTTCGCTCGAGCACATCTCGAGCTCACTTCAAAGTCCCGATTGCGAAATCGGGAGCACCCACCGACCCTCCTGATCTCCCCCACCCACGAACGACCGCACCTCTGGAACTACAGTTCTTCGCTTCTGTTTCCGCCGCTTCGCTGCTTTCGGTTCGGTCCATCGTTTCACGGGGTCAACAGCACCCATTCATACGACTAGTAACCGCCCTTTCTATCATTTCCGACCTCTCTGGTTACCCTATTTCGCTTGCATCCTTCCTTCGCCGACCAATCATGCAGTACGGCGATGGGCTCGTGGTGGTCGCGATTTCCGCCTTCGCGGCGCTTCTCTGCGAGTTCATCTCGTGGGTATTGATCTACCGCACCGCCAGCTATCGCGCGTTGACGCAGAGCATAGAGAAGACGAGTCGCCGCGTGGAATCCATGAAGGAGCGCCAAGCGGGAGCGGCGGCGGCGGCGGCGGGGAGGAAGAGCGCGTCGCGCAAGATCGGGCGGTTCGAGCAGAGCCTTAAGGACTCGAACCAGGCGCTCAGCCGAGCCAAGTTCCAGGTACGTTGATCTGCCGAGCCAGGCTCTAGATACGGATCACCCGAGCCTGGTTTCAGGTTCGACGACCAGCCATTGGCTGGTAGTCTTTCCCGGTAATTTCCTTCTTCTCAGCTGCCACGTACGTCTCATCTGCCGCCCAGATCCCTCGCTTTGCCCTACAAGTCATCCTCACTCTTTCCTCTCACAACCGCCGAATCTGTTTTTTTTCTTCTTCTTCTTAAAAAAACAGAGCCGCCCAGATCCCCCGCTTTGCCCCATTCCCAAGTCATTCTCGCTCTTTCCTCTCACACCCGCCTCGTCCTTTTTTCTCCCTCCTCCGTTTCCTCCCCTGCCGTCCTCCCACCTGCACTTCGCTCAGTCAGAGCAGTGCGGGCAGGCCCACTCTCGTCGCCCCTTGCTCTTCTCAGCTCTCCCTCCCCTCCCTCCCATCTAGATCCATCCCCTCACCTCCCCGCTCTCACTTAGTCCGGTGTGGTGGTGGCAGCAACGCTGCTCATCGTCTTCGGTTCCCATCCCAACTCTCCCTCCCATCTGCATCCACCTTCCCATCTGCATCCACCTTCCCATCTGCATCCACCTTCCCATCTGCATCCACCTTCCCATCTGCATCCACCATCCTATCTTCCCAACTCTCCCTCCCTTCCCTCCCATCATGATCCATCTCCTCTCTCCCACCGCTCCTCGCTCACCCGCTCCAGTCCAGTCCAGAGCGGTGGTGGCAGCAACGCTACCGAACGTCATCGGGCTGCTCAACTCTCCCTCCCTCCCATCTGCATCCAACCCCCACCCACTGCCCCATGCTCGCCTGCCCATCCAGTCCGGTGCAGTGGTGGCAGCGACGCTGCTGATCGTCTTCGGGTTGCTCAACTCGCTCTTTGACGGCAAGCCAGTCACCAAGCTGCCCTTCGTGCCCTTCGCCTTCATTCAGGTCCGCCCCGCTTATTCTCCCCTCCTCCCTTATTGTCATAAACATTACTGTAGCAACTCTCCTAGACCCCTGATTTTTCCACACCTTTCTTTTTTCGTAAACTGATTCATTCACCATGCTCACTGTGATCTTCCTTTTCCCTCTCCTTTCCACACCTATTCGCTCCCTTTTCCTCATCATTGATCTGAAACTCTTTTCACTGATAAGTTTTTCAGAGACGATCCGAAAATCGCTCGATGATACTCCTCTCCTCCACATGCTCTGCTCCCTCACCTCTCGCTCTGCCTACTTACATGCTCCCCGCACCAACCCCTCCCCTCTTCGATGCAACATGGCATTATGGCCTGAGGGGGCACTGCCCTAGTCTTCTTCTTTTACCCTCTTCTCCTTGATATTCCTTTACATTTTCTGCTCCCAGTCGTCTCTACATTCCTTGCTCATCTGCCATCCTTGCTCATCTGTCATCCTTGCTCATCTGCCCTCCTCTACACTTGAGCGCACCCCAGTCCTTGCTCTGCTCTTCGGCCCCATCACCACCCCCTTTCCATAATCCACCCTTTCACGCCCATCAGTTGGAGCATAACATGTTGCGTCTCGACCTGTCAGTCAGGATGCGACTCAACTGACTGCGCCGTGGTGATTCTCTACATGCTCTGCCCGCTCACCCTCACCGTCCTTGCTTCTCTGCCCTCCTCTAAGCTTCAACACTCTCCACTCCTCCCTTCTCCCCGTCCCTCAAACCTCCCTATCCCTCAAACCCCCTTCTCCCCATCCCCCACCTACTCCCCACAGCACAACATGTCGCACCGCGGCCTGCCAGGGAACGACCTCGCCGACTGTCCCGTGGTCTTTCTCTACATGCTCTGCTCCTCAGTACTCCTTCATGCTCCCTTAGCCCATCCCCCACACCCCACCCCCCCTCCTGCTCCCCACTGACAGCACAACATGCTGCATCGGGGCCTGCCAGGGAACGACCTCACCGACTGCTCCATGGTGTTTCTCTACATGCTCTGCTCGCTTAGCACTCACTAAAACTTCCATCGCCCCACCCCCCACCTCCTCACCTTCTCCCTCCTTCCTGCTCCCCACTGACAGCGCAACATGTCGCACCGCAACCTGCCAGGGGACGACCCCACCGACTGTTCCATGGTCTTTCTCTACATGCTCTGCTCGCTCAGCATCCGCCCCAACCTGCAGAAGCTGCTTGGCTTCGCCCCTCCCCGTGGCGCTGCTCCCAACATGTTTGCGGGCCTCGATGCCAAGAACAAGTGACAGCGTGGGGAGCATGTTGCATGTTGCATGTTGCATATTAGCTTCAGGATGGCTCGGGTTGCTTGTCCTGGCTTCAATTCCTGCTGCAACATTACCAAGGCAAGGGCTACACTCTCAATTTATACGCTCAACGTCTTACAGTACTGCACGCTCAATCAATGGCATTCTCATGCACCGTCTTTACCGTACCAGGTAGAGCAAGAGCGTCTACCTCGGGCATGCTGTTCTACCGTACCTACCGATGGGGTTTTTTAGTCGACTCAAAAGCCTACCGTACCTACCGGTACAAATTTCCCCATGAATGAAATAAACGGGGGGTTTTAGAGCTTTCGCTAGACAGTGTTTTGGCGCATAAAAATCGGGTACCGGTACTGCAAGTACCTCTGGGGTGTTTCCAAACAGGAGGTTCAGTGTGCATGCATGTAAACGTACATGCTTACAGTGTGCTGTATAGGGTAAGGTTTTAGGGCAACTCTAGCAGCGTCTTACAGGATGTTTGTATATCAGCCTAAAGGCTGTTCAACGTCCAACAAGGGTGAACACGAACCAAAGCATGAAGTTGAGCTTGTGTCCACACCACCACACCTCCACCTCTCTACTTCTCTCCCTCCTTGCCCAGCCGTGCCTCCACCTCCTCCACACTCACCCCCTCAAACTCTGCAATCACATCAGCCGCCACGTTCCCCTCCGGCTCCCACGTGTTCTCATCCGAGTCCTGCCACTTAACTAAGTACTCCACCACACCCTCCCCGCCACCCTGTGACGCCCCCACCACCCGCTTCTCTAGAATCTTCTCCGCTACACCATACTCCAAACCCTCCTCGAAATCCTTAACTAAGTCTTCCCCAATGTTCTCCACCGGTTCCCAGCTGTCCTCCGAGTCATCCTGCCACTTAACTAAGTACTCAACGGTGCCGTCCTCCGCTATGCGCTTGTCTAGGATCTGATCCACCTCGGATTCCTCAAACACCGCCTCATCCAGCATCTTCACCACGTTGTCAAGGGCCAGGCGCCGCGCAAACTGACAAGGGGAAGACGAAAAGGGATTGGTTGGGGGTTGGGTGGGTTTGGGATGAGAGGGGTGCATAGGACGCCTCTAACACCGCCTCATCCAGCATCTTCACCACGTTGTCAAGGGCCAGGCGCCGCGCGAACTGACAAGGGGTTGGTTGGGGGTTGGAGGAGAAGGGTTGTTAACAAGCACGTCCTTTCAGTATATTCTCCCCACGTTGTCAAGCGCCAGGCGCCGGGCGAATTGAAAATGGAAAGGGGTTGGTTGGGAGTTGGGTGGGTGGGGTTGAGATGAGAGGGGTTTGTTTGACACATGGCCTCATCCAGCATCTTCACCACGTTGTCAAGGGCCAGGCGCCGCGCAAACTGACAAGGGGTTGGTTGGGGGTTGGAGGAGAAGGGTTGTTAACAAGCACGTCCTTTCAGTATATCCTCACCACGTTGTCAAGCGCCAGGCGCCGGGCGAATTGAAAATAGAAAGAGGTTGGTTGGGAGTTGGGTGGGTGGGGTTGAGATGAGAGGGGTTTGTTTGACACATGGCCTCATCCAGCATCTTCACCACGTTGTCAAGCGCCAGGTGCCGGGCGAACTGACAAGGGGTTGGTTGGGGGTGGGGTGCGGGTGGGGATGGGAGAAGGGTTGTTAAAACGCACAGCCTTTCAGGGCATCCCCACCACAGGCTCGCCTAGTCATCGAGCATCTTCACCACGTTGTCAAGGGCCAGGCACCGAGCGAACTGAGATGGACACAGACAGGGGAGAGGTTCGTTTGACACATGTCTTTCAGGAAGAATCTTCACCGCAGGTTTGCCTCATCGAGCATCTTCACCACGTTATCAAGGGCCAGGCGCCGGGGAAACTGAGATGGACACAGACAGGGGAGAGGTTCGTTTGACACATGTCTTTCAGGAAGAATCTTCACCACAGGTTTGCCTGGTCATCGAGCATCCTCACCACGTTGTCAAGAGGCAGGCACCGGGCGAACTGACAAGGGGACGAAGGAATGGGTTACTTGGGGGGTGCATGGGTGGTGGTGCAGCACCGGTTTGTTTGAACAGGACTTTACAGGCCATCTTTCGCACAAGAGAGTGCGCCGAGGAGAGCAAGGAATGGGAGGGTTTCCTTCTAGGCTGGCTATGATGCTCGCGAGGCTGAGTGGAGAAAGGCGCCCAGAGTGTTATGGGCGGGACTCGGGTGAAGGGATTCGAAATTAACAGAAGACATCACCCATCTGCTGCACGGTTGGTGGAGACTGTAAGTTAGTTTGTTAAAAAAAAAAGCACTCGCTGCATTGTTTTCAGTCCAGCAAAAGACTTGCTTGAGACCGTCACAAATGGAAGAAAGAGAAGGAAGAGTAAAAAGGGCAGGGTAATGGGCACTCACTGCACCGGGGTTATTAGCGGGAGTGGCCTTAAGCAGCTGCTCCGCGAGGATGAGGGGCGAGCGCTGCTGCTTGTCCTCCTGCTCGGGGTCCGCCCCGTGGTCCAGCAGCGCGCGCACTATTGTGGAGTGCACGTAGCTGAAAGGGGGAAGGGGGGGGGGGGGGAAGAGAGGTGAGTGGGGGAGGAGATGTAGGTTTCAGGTTTGGGCTAGACGGAAGAAAGCGGGGTGGCCTGGTAGGTACGAATTCGACTTAGATCCAGGGTCCTGGGGCAATAGAAGGAAAACGGAGCTGTCGACCTATTGAACAACAGAGGAGAATCGTTGGCTTCTTGCGTTTTGTGTTCAGTTGGTGTTTAGAGGTGCCAGTGTTCAGGTTGGTCTCCGTCTGTAGTCGTTGAATAGGAGAGGCTGGTCGCCCGTTCACCTAATCCACTTATTGTCGCATAGGTTTTCGTTCCTTTTACGCGTCCCATAGCGACGTGCAGAAGCACTCACATCACATCTAATTTTCGTCCGCATTCTCCCCCAGCCGAACGCAAAGTAACTCCTCGCTTTTCTCTGCTCTCCCCTCCGCAGCGACTCACCCCGCAGCTATATGCAGCGCGCTGTAGCCCTCCTTGTCCTGCCACGCCACGTCAGCTCCCTCCTCCAGTAGTTTGCGAACCAGCTGACGTGACCCAAGAAGTTGGGGGTTGATGGCACGAGGGAATAAACACGGACGTAAAAATAGGATAAAAAACGAATACGATAAGCACGGATTTCCGTCTCCAATCGCAGTAACCGAGTCGAAAAGCGACGAAATTGCACGCATTATACGAGATTTGGCTCCAAGCTGGCTCACGTTCAATGTATGCTCTCACGGCGCTAGCCTCGGCCAACCCATTCCACAGCAAACGAAAACGAGTGGAAAGGCAGGGTCACTTTCTCATTCACAGCCCCGCCGCAAACAGCAGCGAAGAGCGGCCATCCCATGGACGGCATTCAACCCTTATCATTTCCGCACTCACTTCTCACACCCCCACTCACCCTCCCACTTCCGATCTCACCCTCCCACTCCCGCACCCACCCTCCCACTCCCGCATTCATCTTTCCACTCCCGCATTCGCCTTCGCATTCGCGCACTCACCATTTCATCCCCACACTCATCCCTTCTCATTATCGCTCTCACCTTCTCATTCCCAAGCCCCGCGGCGAACAGCAGCCCTGACCGCCCATTCCCATCGACGGCGTTCACGTCGCGCCCCTCCGCCAGCAGCTCCTCGATCTTCGCGTCGTCGCCGCGCCGCACCGCAGTCCACCACGGCTCCTCGAACTGCGCCACGAGGTCCGCCGCGACGTTCTCGCGCGGCTCCCAGCTGTCGGGGTGGTCATCCTTCCACTCGATCAGGTACTGCGTCACGCCGTCCTCCGCCACGCGGCTTCCCAAAATCTTCTCGACCTCGCCGACGTCTTCGTCGATTACTTCCGGCACGTCCTCGAACGCGGGTTTCTTGGCGTCTGACGTGGCTTCTTGTTGTTGCTTCTGCTCGGCTTCTGACGTGGATGTCGAGCCGGACGACGTGGCAAAGGCGGTGAACCGTCTCTCACGGGAAATGGTGTCTTTATGAAAGGCGGAGAGAGAGGTAAACCCGTAGGATCTTCTGAATCCGCAGCTGTTAGAAGTGCCCTGCTTCTCCAGTTTGATCGCATTTCTCTGAAGCGACACATGGCAAGGCGCTGTTGCTGCAGCTTGGAGGACTCTGACAGCGGCGGTCGCCATGATTTGAAAGGATCAATCAGCAGCCAAGAGGTACGTTCGGAGCTGGACAAGCAGCAAAGAACTCAATAGCCGTGGAAAAATTGATGAGGAAAAACTGAAGCAAGAGGGAGCCAACAATGAAACACTGATGCAAAAAACAAAATCGTTGTGAGCAAATTGATGGAGGAAAAACTGAAGCAAACAGACTGAACCAATGAAATTTAGAAAGTAAGGAACCAGGTGCTCTGCCAGCGTGGAGGCAAGCTGGATTCGCGCAGCTCGTGGAGTTCAAAGCGCAATCTTCACGCCAGTCACGACAAGCCAGCTGGCGGGAACCCAGAAAACTTCCAAATTCAAGATTGCAGTGAGGTCAGAAAGTAGCGTGTCAGGAAACACTAAACGGTGATATTGCAAATTACAAACAACAGATGTTAACGATTGAAAGCAGTCACAGAAAAGGCTGGATAAAGGTTCCGTACTAGACTATTACCGTATCATGCTACAGTGGAAAAACCACACTGCACACGAAATTACTGGAAGCAAGTCAATTGAAACTTAGCAAGAATTAGCATAACAGCTATATAGGTACCATACCAGTCCAGAATGCTGCTGGATAACGTAGACTACCTAAAATAGAACGAACCGGATAAATGCGCTCTAGCCTCTGAGGTCCTGCTTTGAGAAGGAAAAAGAATGACACACTGACTTGACTCCTACACCGTCGCCATTGCCAACCAAGGATGAGGCGGTGCAGCAGTGCAATGCAACCCTAACCTAACCTATCGACAGACTCATTCCCACTTGCCAACTGCACATGATGCATCATCTGCTAGTGCCCACTGGCCAGTCTGCATCTCTGTGTCGGCTCGGCAGCACCACCTCATTTATGCCTTCCCCTTCCCTGCACCACCTGCACTACACACATACACAGTCACTGCTCCCACACATCCTTGCACACAGACGCAACACCACCCTCTCATGACTGCAGCCACACTCTATCCCGGAGCCTCTGCGGACCTGCACCATAGAACTCGTCCACTTTACTGCCCTCACGGAAAAAGCGGAAGGTGGGGGTGTAGCGAACGTCCTCCGCCATCTGAGTGCATTTATCCACATCAGCATACACAAAGATGGGCCGTGAGTACTCGTTGCTCAGGTTGAAAAAGGTGGGAAGCATCTTGCTGCACGCATGGCACCTGCACAGGGATGCATGGCGATGGTATGGTGGTATCAGAAAGGAAGGGAAAGGTGAATAGGGGGATGGTGAAATGCCTTGGACTGAGAGTTGTGAAGAGAACAAAAATTGAACAATTCCTCAAACATGCAGAACATACAATTAGTGTGGTTGCGGACCATATCAAACAATGCACCACGGACCTAACCATGCATGCCATGCCGACTGCATGACAGCATAAAGAAGCAGAAACTCACCAGCTGGCGCCATACGTCACAACGACCTGTGATAAAAAGCAGGATGGGTTTTCAAACGGAGGGAGGGCGGAAGGCGGTGAGTTCGTATCTGGGAATTGGAAACGGCGACTTGAAATTGGCCGCGCAGGAAAAAATAAAGCAGAATCAGGAGGCATCGCAGGAAGTAAAGGGTACCGGCCGCGTTATCCGACGACGTCGTCCGAGTGGCAGGTCTACTTAGAAACGGTCATGCCAAGCCGCAGCTCGCACTGTTTTGGAAAACCGAAACCTAGTGTGTACAGTCGTGAGGCCCACTAATTCCTTCGCTTTAGCAGACAAAATCGCATTTCGTCAAGTAACGGTCACGACTACTCGCTCGTCGGTTATTCTAAAGGACTACTTGTTTGGGCAAAAGTCAACTCACTGGCCGTTTGGTCTTCTTCGCTTCGACCAGCACCTGCGACAGCTCCGAGTCGGACTTCGCCTCGAGCAGGTTATTGTTGCGATTGAACGGCACGGATCGCGGCTTTGCGGCTGCGCCAGCCGCATCCTTACGGACGCTGAACTCGCCAGCTGGACCCTCGGGATCACCGGTCGACATTATGCGATCCGAAAAGGAGCCCTAACTTCGAAGATGTCACTCAGGCTGGAATTTAAAAGCGTAAAAATTGGCTGCGGTCTTCTGACAAAGAAAGACGAGCCTCTATGCACGGGTTCTACGGAAGGGCTGGAGTCCTACCGCGGTTAAACGGCGAATGCCTAAAGCTGACTTGGTATGAAAAATATGCCTAACGTGCTAGGACACAACCTGAAAGCACCAGAAAGACTCGCAAATGGTCTGACCGAAGTGAAGTTAGCAATGTGTCATCAAAATCTTGAGTTTCGCAGGCTTTCAAGCATTGTGATGAAAGACGTCGCACATGGTCGCAACGCGACCTCGAAGGGTTTGGCGCGTGTTTCCTGCTGTGAAATGATGCCATCAAGTCGTCCGGAAAATTGCAGACGACGGAGGGGCCAGGGCGGGGTCAGCTGGACAGGGAAAAGCTCTTGTTCCAAACCATTGGCTGTGCGACGAGCTTCTGACAAGTAGGGTGCAATGGAACGAGCGAGCGAAGATTGCACTGAGGGCGGGTCCAACTTTGCATATGTACGATTAAATTTCAGAACTGTTACCACATTTAGGGGGTAACAGAACTAAAAACGTACCAGAATCCATTTGACGCAAGACTGTACGTGTATGATGACATTACGGAAACGTGCCCGGGGATGTGCAGAACACGTCCGAAGGTTCACGTCAAACTCGTTTCGCGTCAAACATGCCAAAAGGTAACACCCTTTTTCGCTAATTTGACTTCGCCAATGAACCCTCTCCGTCACAGGTGCGAAAAAACTCGCTTTATTGGGTAACCCCTCATTCCAGGTACTGTACCCCGCAGCGTTACTGTACCTTGTCAAAAGTCCGAATTGTGCAATTGGAACTGGACAGGAAATGTTTGGAGTTTGCCCTGGGGTACAGTCAAGTTTGACTAGTGCATTGACGTTAAAATAACTGAAAAAAAGAGAGTGTGCCAAGTTGGACCCGCCCTGAGGGCACGTCCCCTCCCACGATCGATCGCGAGATCGCCGTGAAAAACCGATCGTTCACATCGATTGCAGGATTGGGGTGGGATTGGTCGGAGGTGTAGTCGGGGATCGATCCCGAGCCCAATGTGACAGGATCGAAAATACAAGGGGGAAAAACTCTCGATCCTACAAAAGCCGAGATCTGTGTGGCCGCAAAGGCACATCGATCGTCAACAGCGGAGGTGACAAGATCGTTGGGCACCAGTTTCTGCACGTTCGCAAGCCATCTCGAACTCAGGTTAACTTGTCAATTGCCAGACAGTAGTGTCCCTCGATCGATCGAGGGCAGGATCGATCGAAGGAGGGGACGCGCCCTAAAGAGTCAAACTAAGCAAGTGTCACATTTCTGTGAATGTGAAGGGTAAGGCGAGGCGGAAGGATGGTGTACATACTGTATACATTGTACATAGCGGAGTGAGCTGGGGCGCGGACGGGAGGTGAAGGGTCAAGGGGGACATTGCGAGGCAGAAGGAGAGGACCGTTGCCGAACCGAAGGGGCGGAAGGTCTGCATTGGTGTGAAGCAGGGCGGGACTGACGTGGAACGAAGCGAGGCACCAGGGATCGGCAGCGGAACAAGGCAGGTGCAGCTTGGATGGCAACAGCAGCGCCAGTGGTGGATGTGTGTCCGAGTGCATGCGTGTTTGTTTCCCGTGTGTGCAGGTTGCTCCAGGGAGCCAGCTGGAACTGGATGAGGGCAGCTGGAGGCAAGTAAGAGGGGTTGGGGAAGGAGGGCAAGAAACAGCCAGGCTGCAAGTCTGCTCGTAAGGGGTTCAACCTCTACAGAGCAGATTAGGAGAAGCAGGGTAGAGTTGACGTGCGGCGGCGGTAGAGCTGGTAGATTAGGTGGAACTCTGGGCTATTGCTTGTATGTTTTCCAATTTACACGATTCGTTGCTGTAAACGTGAGCCAACGGTGTTGACAGGGAGACATAACAAGCAAGCATGCTGTAGAATAGACGACTAGCCAAGAGGTGGTGTGTGAAGGAGCTCCGAGCTTCTCACATACAAGCAAACTCTTTAGGGCAGTAAGGAACAACATACCCACAAGGAGAAACCGAACAGCCACTGACACTGAGGCCAGAGCACAGGCAGTCAGCAGAAGGGAGAGAAGCACTGAGAGGGCTCACACTGAGCTAGCATGGCAGAGTGAGAGGCAGGGGAAGGACAAGGCGAGCATGAGTCACGGGAGGTGGGTGAGGTTCCGACACAAGTGTCACTGGGGGAGAGGAGAGGGGACAGCAGCAACAATAGCTACAGCAGCAACGGCAGCAGCAGCAACAGCAAGGCCAGCAGGGCAGCAACAGCAGGTTTGTAGGGGAGAGTAGAGAGGGCCACAGTGGCAGCACCAAGGTCAGCAGGGTCAACTGGGGCGGTAGCAGGAGGGTCAGCATGGGCAGCAACAGGAGGATCAGCTAGGGCAGCGGCGTGAGGATCAGCAGGGGCAGGCTGGCTGGAAGGAGGAGAGAAGACAGCAACAGCAGCGATTACAGCAGGTGGGCCAGCAGGGGCAGGAGGGGCGGGCTAGTAGGGGAGAGGAGAGAGGATAGCAAGGGCAGCAGCAAGAGGGTCAGCAGGGGCAGCAGCAGGAGGGTCAACAGGGGCAACAGCAGAAGGGTAAGTAGGGGCAGGCTACTAGGGAAGAGGAGAGGGGACAGCGGCGGCAGTAGCAGCAGCATGGTCAGCAAAGGTAGGAGGGGCAGGTTGGTGGGGGAGAGGGGAGAGGACAGCATAGCCAGCAACAAGAGGTTTAGCAGGGGCAGGAGAGGCCGGCGAGTGGGGTAGAGGAGAGGGGACGGCAGGGGCAGTAGCGAGAGGGCCAGCAAGGACGGGGTATGGAGGGGGGGGATAGGGCGAGGGTGCGGGGGGTTTTGGGGTTGGGAAGAGGGGATGGTAGGAGGCAGGTGGGTGGGGGAGAGGATAGAGGGGTAAAATGGCAAGGGAGGAGGCACAGAGGGACCAGGCACAGCAGCAGCCAGTACAGCAACAAAGGCAGGCTGGACGCACAGGCCGCATAGGGACACCAGCCCGCATCCCAGACCTGACTTGCCGCGATATTGAAACAACTTTGATGGTGCTGGTAGACGTCTCCATTGCAGATCCACAGCAACAGGGGAATACCGGGCTTAGACGAGTGGCTCCAGTGCAGATGGGTGTTGCAGCAACTAGACGAGTACAGGACAAGTTGCGGGATTTAATACCGGCCCCTTCATGGGTCTTCGTGGCCCCTTCGCCGCCCTTAGCGGCCCCTTCTGAGCTCCTCCGCGGCCCCTTCTCAGCTCCTTCACGGCCCTGCCGACCCGCCGTCGCCGCCTCAGCAGCAGCAGCAGCCGTCGCGCTGTACCAGCCGCCGCCACCACTACCGGGGCCGCTGCCGCCGCCGCTGCCGGCAGCAGGAGCCGCCACCGCCGCTGCCGTGACAGCCGCCGCCGCCGCTTCCGTGACAGCAGCAGCCGCCGTTGCCGCCGACAGCAGCAGCCGCCGCCGCCGCTGCCGTGACAGCCGCCGCCCCCGCTGCCGTGACAGCTGCCGCTGCCGGGGCCGCAGTAGCCGCCGCTGCTGACGTGACAGCCGCCGCCGCCGCTGCCCAGGCCGCACCCGCCGCCGCCGCCGACAGCAGGAGCCGCCGCCGCAGTCGCGGCCATGTCCCTGCAGGCGCGTCTCGGCCCTGCCCCACCACTTGCGGACCTCTACCCACCCGCCCTGGTAAGAGAACCGCCGAGCCACGCCTCTGCTACTGAGCTGCTCCTAGCCTGCTGCTACTGCTGCTAGCCTGCTACTGGTGCTGTCATGTCTACCCATAGCGTTCTCACATTTGATGTTGAGGGTCGACTATCGACTTTGAGGTCTGGGTCGATCATCTGCAGCTTTTCCTGCAGTGCGATAGGAAAGACGGTCTCTCACTGTTCGATCTCACGTCTTGCGCCTCTACTGCCCTTGCTGCCGATGCTGATAGCACTGTTCGGTCAAAGTGGGCCACACACGATGCTGCTGCCCGTCTTGCTGTGCGTAGTCACTTGCCGTCCACAGAGCGCGCCGCTTTAGTCAGTACAAGAGTGGTAAGACCTTGTGCCACGCTGTAGTTGCACGCTACTCTTCCGCTGCCACTGCTGCCCTTAGCCGCCTCATGCTGCCGTACTTGTTCCCTGACCTCGCCGCCTTTCCCACAGTCGCTGACCTCATTACGCACCTTCGCACTAGTGACACCCGCTACCGCGCTGCGCTTCATGCTGAGTTCTGCGCCAAGAACCCCCCCCCCCATGTACATCACCCTGTACTACATAGTCACCCGGCTCCCTGACTCCCTTCGCTCGGTCAGGGACCACTTCCTCTCTGTTTGCCCCACCACACTCACCGTTGACCTCCTCGAGGAGCGCCTCCAGCCAGCTGAGAAGACTATAGTCGCTGTAGAAGCCTCTCGTGGTGACCCTCGTTCCCCCTTCTTTGAGGGGTGCTCCCCCTCCCCCCTTTTGCCCTCTGTTGCCTCTGCTGCTGTCGTCGACTTCGTTGGCACCGAGTCAGTCGGCGCTGCGTCTGCCCCTTGCAGAAAACGCCGCACAGGCAAGGGCAAGGGGGTCAAGGGCGCTGGAGGAGCTGGCGGGGGCGGTGGAGGTGGTGGTGGAGGCGACGGAGGGGGTGGGGGTGGCGGTGGGAGTGGTGGCGGGGGTGGGGGCTTCGGTGGCGGCGGTGGAGGTGGAGGCGGCGGTGGCAGTGGGAGTGGAGGAGGCGGAGGAGGCGGCGCTGGCGGCGGTGGCGGAGGTGGCGGCAGCGGCGGTGGAGCTGGTCGGGGTGGCTCTGTGCACCGGGGCGGCTTCGGTGGCGGTTAGCGCTAGCAGCAGCAGCACACTCATGAGACCCCGCCCCCAGCAGCTTCGTGAGTGTTACGCTGCGCGTCAGCGGGGTGGGGGTGCTGGTCCCTGTGCCTACGTCCTGCGTACCGGCGACCGCACTGGTGAGCCGTGCTGTGGCCCACACACCAC